GAATATACACAGCCATAGAATACAACAGCCTGCACATACTGGCAATAGCATAGCAGGACAAGACTTACTGTGTGACTTTTCTATACTGCATAATAACAAGAGGTTGTGAGCTTGCTATTATTTATTATTTTTCAAGGAAAACTAACACAGAGTCCAGGTATTCTAAGTCCAAAATTCAAGACAGTTTATGTCTGTAAAATTCTTAGACAAAGAATATTTTATATGGCTGTTCAACTACTCAATTTCAAAGCAAAGTCCTTTAGTAATCTGTGTGTTTTGATTTAAAAAAAAAACTATAACTAAATAGGTTTATAAACTGTTTCCATTTTTAAATATGTGAACTAAAACCTTAACCGAAGAATTACACATTCAGATGTATCTAAAGGCTAGAGTAGTAATCTAAATGTATGCCATAGTGGTTTGGCGACTGTAAGCCCCTTGTTATTATGTCAGCTGCGTTTGGTTGTTGTCCATGTTGGAAAGCAGGCCCAGTATTAGAAAGTCTACTGGTTTTTCAAGAAAATCCAGAGATACATATTCTTATGTGAAACCTCCCAAGTCAACTTAAATTTAAAACCATTTAAATATTATATAAACCAAAAGCCTTATGTCTGTGAGCCACATTTGGCCCTTTAGTTTATAACCTCTGCTTAAACAGAAAAGGTCTTCAGTAATCCATTTAAGCATTCCAACAAGGTCAAATTGAGTATCCCTTGTAGTCTTGAGGCATTTGGAATTTGAAGTAAGGGAGCCTTGCCAAATACTTCTGGCATTTTCCTTTTAGCACAACTGACATATTACAAATCTTCAGGTGAGAGATAGCCTAGCAATCTGGTTCAATGTTTGAAAACTCATACCTTAACTTTGTTGCTCCAAGTAAAAGATTAGGCAATTCTCATGCTGTTTCCTTGTCTCAGAATGCTGCAAAGAGGCTCTGCAGACAGTGAGAAAGATGGAGGGCCCCAATTTGCAGAGGTGTTTGTCATTGTCTGGTTTGGTGCAGTTACCATCACCCTAAACTCAAAACTTCTTGGAGGAAACATGTGAGTATCATTAAAATGCACCCTTCTTTTTCTCTTGCCAGGAAGCATATCTTAGAATTTTTTTTTAAGACAGAGTCTCACTTGGTTGCCTGGGCTAGAATGTAGTGGCATTGTCAAAGTTCACTGCAACCTCAAACTCCTGGACTCAAGTGATCCCCCTGCCTCAGCCTCCGAGTAGCTGGGACTACAGGCATGTGCCACCATGCCCGAGTAATTTTTTAAAAAGAATTTTTTGTAGAGACCGGGTCTCACTGTGTTGTCCAGGCTTGTCTTGAACTCTTGGCCTCCCAAAGTGCTAGAATTACAGGTATGAGCCACTGCACCCAGCTGCATATCTTGTATTTTTAGGGAAACCAGACTAGTTAGATATTTTTTAAAAGAAAAATCAAACTAAATGAAGGCCAAAGAGAAAGTTCGCTTAAAACTACTACCACTAAACAGAGATAAGTTAGCTGAATTAGAGTATCTTAAACTATCTGGGGTCCTTTGATAAGCTTCATATGCTCTCTCCAGCCCCTGAAATCACAGGCAGAATCTTTTGTTAGAAGATTATGTACATTTCGGAGGCAGGTGGTCTATAGCTCTCAATAGATTCTCAAATAGGTCTATAAATTCAACTTAATTCTCAAAGAATTAAGAACCACTACCTTAGAGTTTCAGTGGGAGAAAGTGGTCTCTAGGAATTAGAGCAGATCCTTTGGTATTAGACAGTTGACTCTTTTAAGGGGTTTAAGAGGAGAGAAAGGAGAGTATAGAGAGAGAAAATTAAAGCGTGCAATGTTAGAGTATAGACATTATGTATCAGGAGGGAAGCAACAATCCACAATGCATAGAAATCTGTAGTAAGTTGTGTCATGACACATCAGCTGTATTTACGATATTTATGGATGTATTTTGTTTTTAGATCTTTTTTTCAGAGTCTCTGTGTGCTGGGTTACTGTATACTTCCCTTGACGGTAGCAATGCTCATTTGCCGCCTGGTACTTTTGGCTAAGCCAGGACCAGTAAACTTCATGGTTCGGCTTTTTGTGGTGATCGTGATGTTCGCCTGGTCTATAGTCGGTAAGTATATACTTATCTCTACAACAGCAGAATAGAACAAAAACATGAATTAAAGGTGAAGACAAGATGAGGAGCAGTGTAACCCAGAGTCAGATGTGAGTGATATGATTCTTGCCAGTGTCATCCATAGAACCCTCTGCTCTAAGCAGGCATTGATGGGGGTGGCGTCTATCTTAGTTGAGTATCTGGACTTAGAAGAGGTGGAGAGTCACATCTTTATTTTTCCTTAAGTAATGGACAGGATTAGGAAAGTAGATTACAGTAGACTCAGCGCAGTCCTGGTATATACAAGGCATAGGTGAGATGACTCGGACCTTTTCCTGACAAACTAATCATAATAAAAATAATAGCATTTACAGATTGTTTATTATAGGCCAGGTGTTATTGTGAGTGCTTTATGTGTATTCTCTCATTTAACTCTCACAGCTACTCTAATAGATAAATACTATTTTTAGTCCCAGTCACAGAGAGGTTAAGGACCTTGCCCTAGGACATGTAATTAGTGAGTAGGGGAGTCGAAGTTCAAACCCAAGCAGATCATGCACCCTTGAGAACTATAGTACTTTCCAGTGTAGGTTTAAGTCCCATTATGTAGTGCTTTTCTGCTTCAGTAGCACATTTTGCTAAAGATGAGGAAGGGAATCCAGGCACGGTGGTGCACGCCTATTGTCCCAGCTACCCGGGAAGCTGAGGTGGCAGGATCGCTTGAGCCCAGGAGTTTGAGGTTACAGTGAGCTATGATCAGGCCACTGCACTCCAGCCTGGGTGACAGGGTGAGACGCTGTCTCTAAAAAATAAAAAAATAAAAATAATGATTAGGAAGGGCCTATAGTAATGGCTGTGAGTGTTCTGTGCCCATTGTTTTTACATTTCTAAAATTCTCTTAAAATTCCAGCTTAAACTAGAAGTGTTCACTAGCTTCTGACTTAATGGGATAGACTTCCTAATATTTTTAAGTGTGGTAACATCTCACTGCTCTAAAACATGGTTGAAAGCTAAGAAGTAATCTAGAAAAGGTCTGAGGGAGCCAGAATTTGATGTTCCAAAGACTATATATTAAGCTTGGGTGCTTACTCATGAGAGAGCCCCTGCTTTCTCTCACTTAGAGTCTGATAATCACCACACATGCAATTCTAACTAGCTTAGTTACCTAGTGTGCAGGCACACAGCAGATCAGAAAGTAGAATCTTAGGAGAGAGAGGCTTTAATTCAGCAACTATCCATCACAAACTGTTTGTCAGGTACAGTGCTAGGCATTGTCTCTGTCCCCAGAGTTCCCAATCTAACAGAGCAGCCAGACATGAAAACACTTAAGGCAAGGGCAGCAGGTGCTCCAGATGGGGGACAGAAGTCTGTGCAGGGTACAGTGAGAACACAGAGAGAGAAGTGGGCAGTTTCTGCCTAGGGTGGCAGAATACCAGGTGATAATTCAGAAAAGATCTCCTAGAGGGGTGATTCTTGATAAGTAAAAAGGTGAGTAGGTATTGCCTGGATGGGCAAGAGAGGGATGGCATTTAAAAGAATTGATATCTAAGAAGAACAATTAACTCAAAAAGCACAGCAGTATGAGGCCATTTACCATAGGCATGAATAACCTTACACATCTTTATTAGCCTGTTCAGCACAATTCAGTAACTTTTCAGGAAAGGTTAAGAAACTCCTTTTAGAAAGGTTTCCATCCAAAATGATTGAAAACTTTCAAAGCTTTAGTACTTGGAATAGGAAGCCCCCAGCTATCTGAAAAACTGCTGCAGAATGCCTTTTTGTCTGAGGATCAGAAATGTAACTGAACTTTTAGTGTTATTCTATGTTCCAGATTATGCCAAGCACATTAAAGTATAGTAAATGTTAGTAGCTGTGACAATATTATTGTGTTAATAGTCTTTTTTGTTGTGTCTTGTTTTCCTTAGCCTCTACAGCTTTTCTTGCGGATAGCCAGCCTCCAAACCGCAAAGCCCTGGCCGTTTATCCTGTTTTCCTGTTCTATTTTGTCATCAGTTGGATGATTCTCACCTTTACTCCTTAGTAAATCAGGAAACGGGAATTCAAAATGAGCAAACCGAAAGCTCATCTGAAAAATGCAATTCAACACAAAGCTTTGCCTCTGGCCCTCTTTTTTTTAATTTTAGAGGTATTTGGTAACTGGGTAGATGAGATGAAAAGGGAGCCGTATAGCACTATTGCCACTTATGCGAGAAACTTATGTTTGAAAGGCTGTCCTTTTCCTCTTAATGTCATTTCTTTAAAATACATCTGCATACAACGCATAGTATAATGCCTCACCAAGGCGTGATGGAGTCACTGTGGTCCAATTGGGTGAAAACCAATAGTCATTGGAAGCACATGGATACATCCTATACATTGAATAGAGTTGGTAACTATTTTCAGTTTTGAGAATACCAGTTCAGGTGCAGCTCTTAAACATATTGCCTTATGACTATTAGAATATGCCTCTCTTTTCATAAGAAAGAATGGATGGTCTATATCCATTTTCTTTTGTTTCTCTCAAGCTTAAAAAGGCAATGACAGAAGTTAAGGGGGGGGTTGTTCATAGATGTGGAATGAGAAAATATGCATTAGCCAACATTCAGATTTTGATCAGAGGAAATTCTACACTTGTCGCCTAAAAAAAAAAAAGCTGGGTGCAGTGGCTCACACCTGTAATCCTAGCTCTTTGGGAGGCTGAGGTAGGAGGATTGCTTAAGGTTAGGAGTTCAAGACCAGCCTAGGCAACATAATGAGACTTCGTCTCTACAAAAAAAAAAAAAAAATAGCCAGGCACACCTGTAGTCCCAGCTATTCAGGAGGCTGAGGCAAGAGGATCGCTTGAGGGCAGGAGTTCGAGTTTGCAGTGAGCTATGATTGTGCCACTGCACTCCAGTGGGTGACAGAGTGAGACTGTCTCAAAAAAAAAAAAAAGCAAAAGGCATCTAAAGAATTAGCCTTTTTATTCTTTTGTATAGTCACCTTCCTGCCATGCTTAACAGCACCTCAGTTGGCACTCTAGTTTTTAATCTTACTTCCTGGCTCTGAATATGCAGTCTGAGATGTTAGCAGTCCACATGTAACTTGCCTTCAGCTGAAGTTCTCAGTGGTCCAATGCTGGAGTTTATTCAAATAGAAAACCCCAGAAATTTAGATCGGTAGGTCACTAGTACATATTATCATGTGGGTACCTACCTTCTCATAAGAGTAGAATGAGGCAGTTTGGATGCAGTATAGCTATAACGAGCTCTCTATTATTCTGTGTATTCTGGCCTCTAACTAGAAAGGAAAGCTAAATCAGAAGCCTACATTTAACTGTGTGAACATGGAGGGATTTAGTGTTCTGATGGATGATTAACAGAACAGCTAGATGCTTAGAGCATGACGTAGGAGGAGTTTGGTTTACAGCTGCTGCCTTTTCATAGTGGGCTTAACAGTTTTTCATTAGATGTGTTTTTCAGGTTGGGGAATAGCAATTTATTTTCTTGGTTTTAGACTTTGTCAAGCTAATTAGCTCCCCTTTAGACAAGTACATTTTGCACATGTGCACCAACTTGTACTCTCAGATACTTATGCACAGAAGTGTGAAGGTTTTCCAGGGAGCAGAGGATCTGGGACAGGCTCATTCTGAGCTAACCAGGGCTCCTTTAAGGTAAGATGAGCTGTTGCCTTCTATAAATTGCACATTGAAGAACTCTAATAGACAAAGATTAGGAGTCAGACAGGAAACACTCATTGTAAATATATAGCTAGTGATAAAGATACAAATTTCTTATTCCACACTTCTCGTTTATCGTAGAATTTAAATATTTATTCATTTTGTATTTAAAGACTACCTACACATAAATATGATTCTAAAAACATATTTTTCTCCATCCCCAGTTTAACCAAGTGAACGATACCAGGCCAAATGAGTTCTTGAGTGATACTCAATTTCAAAGCATTACAAAGTTGGTCCCCTCTGTTCTGGCCTTGTCCAGAGTTTTTGGTTATATATTTATATTTATTGAAATTTAATTTTTAAATTATAAAATAAACCCTTTCAGGACAAAGCCAATGTTTCAATCTTGGATTGGTAAAGAAAATATTTTAGAACTGATCCTAATTTTGAAATTGGTCTTTAATTATCATCCATTTCCTATGTCTGAAACTTTCTAGCTTTCCACTTAAAATATCTCTTCTCCCAAAGTTATTTCATCATCTGCCTCAATGATTATAATGTAAGATTAAAGAAGTAACCATGCTTCTCAAAGGGAATTAAGTCTTTACTGAATTTTACTCAGGCTAAACATTTGGTCAGAAATTTCTAAGGCCACAGACGTGGGGGATGTGTGTGTGTGGGGGGGGGAGGGGGGCTGGGGTATACATATTGGATATTAGGGCAGCTTGTTCTGTGTATTAATCTTTGCTCTTGGGTAACTTAGGGAATGGTTTTATTTGATTTAAATGAAAATGGGTAAAATGGATGTTTAATTTTTCTGAAAGTGAGTGGTCAGTTCAAAAGTATAAATAAATATTTTCTTAATATATGCAAACAAGTGCATTGCTTTCTGTGACAAGTTAAGACCTGAATGTCTGGAAGCTGTAACCCTCAACACAGCTTTTCCTGATTTCCTGCAAAGGTACGTGGCTGATGATAGAAATGAGGACTAGGAGGACAGGGGACTCCAACAAAGCAAACCCTGTTGCAGGAATGAGGAAGTTCCATGCTTCAGATGAAATTCAAGACCACTGCAGAACGTGGTGTGTCACTGCCATCCTGAGTGATCACTTGCTGCTCCTACTTTTGAGACCGAGACTCTGCTGTCATATTCTTTAGCAATAGGAAGGGTGAAGACTGGATTTGATTGCTGTTCAGATGATAAAAACTCAGTTGATGCCAACACATTTGAATGTGCAGTATAGTCTTAAAAGTCAACCATTAATCATTAAATCTTTTGCCTCTTATGAGGTTTATTACATGAGTTGATTTTGATCTGTTCACCGTGGTGTGGAGTTTTTCTGTTGTTGTGCAAGGTGGGGTCACAGGGCATGGGACTGGTGAGCATTTTACTGTTTACTGTATTTGTCTTTTTATAAAAAGTATCCCCCAAAATGTGATTAGAAGGCTAGCAAGCCTGGAGATTTAATTATGTACTTTATATAATCTAACTACTTATTGTATTTGGACTGCTTGTTTATTCCTGGAGAGGAAAATGAAAATCTGTCCATTCAGATTCTTGGGTAACATCAAGTCATTGGAATTTATCTAAAGCTTATCATGATTTGATAAAACATCCATTGCATGTAGCTGTCTTAGCCCAGTGTAAAGCACTGAAATTGTGATTCTTAATTAGACTGTTAGTTTCTGAGACATTTGGATGGAAATAAATGTATGAATGTTAATTCATGTATGTAAATTAGAAATACTTTTCTAGATTCTGTGGGCTTTTATTAAAAAGACTTTCATGGGATTTACTTAGGCTAAAGAATGGCCAAATATTAATAATAACAATAATAGTACTACTAATAATAGCTAACTTTATTGGGCACTTAATGTGTACCAGGCACTATTCTATTTTTTTAAGGATTTTTATAACAGCTTTATGAGATACACTTTATCATGAAATTCACCTTTTAAAGTGTACCATTCAGTGGTTTTTAGTATATTCACGAAGTTGCACAACCATCACCACTATCTAATTTTAGAACATTTTCATTACTTCACAAAGAAACCCGGTAGCCATTGGCAGTCACTCCTATTACCTTTTCACCCCAGCCCCTGGCAACCACCAATCTGCTTCCCGTCTCTACTGGCTTTCCAGGCACTTTTCTTCAGTGCTTTCTGTGCACCTCCCCTAATCCTCTGTATACAGTACTACAATTCACATTTCACAAATAGAAAGTTGCAGCACAGAAAGGTTAAGTAAACTGCCCAGGGTCATACAGTAAATTGATTTACAATAACACATTAGATGAGTGCATAGTAGGACACGATTTTGAATTGCATTATTGTGCATTATTATTATGTACATGAAATGAGCATACCCCTTCCCCAGGGTGTGTTTCCTGTTATTAGTCTTTGCACCCTAGAACTGACTGGATGTCAGCAACGTTTTTTTTCTGAGCAATGGAACACCATATCATCAGCATCTGAGAACACAAGAGCAGTTGTACATTGGAAGGAGTTAAGTTTGTTGCCCTCCTTGAGCCCCTTTTCTCTCTCTTCCCTTTCCATCACCACCACCACACACATACCCCTTTTTTCTCAAAGTCTTAAGAATCAAACAACTTCTGCCTCCTTTTTAATTCTCCCAGAGGGATGGTTAATGCATTGAAGTGGAACTTGTCTGTTCAGGTGTTTCTAGTCAAGGGATGCATGTGGTTGCTTATGCTACCAGTTATATTCCTAGGCTCTCCAAGAGCAGTAGTACAAGAATAGAATGCCTTTCTATTTGGCGTTAAACTAGGTGGGAGGAAGAAATGACAGAGTAAAGGTTTTGCCTTGTGAAGTCAGTGTTCCTGCCTAGTAGGAAGTGGCCACACGCTGCTCTCGTTCACTCTGTTCTTTCAGAGCCATTGTACTCTGTGTCATCGCTGCTGGTAATTTCTTGGTCCTTTTCAAGACTCCATTTTAATCCTGATCTTTCCTATAAATAATAAACCTGTGAAAAGAAGAAATCTGTAAAATGATTTGTGAATGTTAAATGTGCAAATAAAAACACTGGAAGAGGAACATTTGTGTCTGTCCTTGTGCTGAAGGCACAGAGATACTTGTTGCATACTGATTTCAGATATGATCTGTTGTCCTCAGACAGTATTGAATGCTGTGCAGGATTGCACTGGGAGCAAGTAAGAAGGGGAAGTCACATTTGTTGAGCAAATACTATATGCCAGGCACTTTACTAGTTGCTTTATAAACAGTGTCTCCTCTTATCACAGCAGCCTTTTGAGGTCAGTGACATCCTTAACCACTTCAGTATGAGCGTCGACTATAGTCGACAGCCACAGATGAACGCGCACAGCCAAGCGTCGACTTTAGCCAACAGCCGTGATGTGACTTTTCTAATTTTTTATTTATCAAAATAAAATTGTGAACATTTAAAAATAACGTAATGAAAACATATGTCTATGTTACCTATTCTGATATTTACATGACAAGCAAAGCTGCCTGTAAAGTAAAACAAGCTTTCAGTGCTTTCAAGCTGTCCTCATCACACAAGAGCAAAACGGATCCGTTGTCTAAGCACAGCACTAGCTACCGTGCGGACTGTGAGTGCCGGCTGTGGGCGAGGTTTCGCGGCCAGTGAGCGCCGTACCGAAGTGGTTAAAGAAGATGGGACTGGATATTGAGTGCAGAAGTGCAGAAGCATTGTTTGTTGTCATTGTTAGAATAAATTATAAGGATAATTTACATTGAAGGAACTCAGGAAATTTCACCCCAAAACATGACTGCTTGTTATAAAGAGTGTTTTGCATTAAAGGCCCTTAGAGATCAACAGACCTTGGAAGGGGCTTTCCCTCTATCTGCATAAACCAGACAGACCCACCAAAAAGAACAATTGACTTCCCTTCCCCTCCCTGTTATCTCAATATATTGCAGGAAAGAAGATCAAGAATGGAACCAGAACTGGTCCAAATAGGTAAAATGTAATACCTGTCTCTCAGGTTAATTTACAAGTCGATCTGTTTCCCCCCAACCATTCATCCTCCCCAGCAACCATTTGTTACCCCTAAACAGAATCACCTATATTCCTCATCTCTCCCTGCCCTCTAAAAGGAGGGTATATACATTCCTGGACCCCACTGGGATTTTGGATAATCACTCTGTGATTCTCCCTGTGTACATGGAAAATAAACCCCTTTTTCTTATTAACCTGCTTTATTTTGAGTTGATTGTTCAGCGAAACTTCTGGGATGACAGGAAGTTTCCCCTCTCACCCCCACCACATACGATAAGTGCTCATTTTTAAATGTACAGGCGGATGAGTTTTGACAGCTGTAAACAGTTGTGTACGATGTTGAATATTTTCTTCATTTCTAAAAGGTTCTTTGTGTCCCTTTATAATCAATCTCTTCCAATCCCTGGCCTCAGGTAATCAGCGATCTGCTTTCTGTCACTTTATATTAGTTCTTTCTAGTCGAGAATTTTATGTGGTCTCTGGCATCTGGTTTCTTTCACTCTGTATGTTTTTGATGTTGCACCTTGTTGCATGCATCAGTAGTCTGTTCCTTTTTATTGCTGAGTAGCATTGCATTATATGCACCAGTCTCCTGTTAATGGGTGTTTCTTCTGTGCTCTAAAATCCCTCACTGCGTTCCAACCAAAGCCAGCCTTCCCGTGGGCTGCTCCCTGCAATGTCTGAATGGGATAGGGGTGTCGACAGGCCCATTCCTGGGAGAAGGGGGCTTGTCTGATGATTGATTTTGGTTTAGGGACCCCTCACCAGCCTTGCTGCACTTTTCGTGCTTCCACTCAACCTTCCTTCTTCCCTCTCTTCACTCACGATCAGACTTCATCAAGGTATGATGGCTCTCCCAATCTTCCCCCTCGTTTTCTCTCCCAGGGTTCCAATTTTGACATCTACTTCTCAAAGGACACACACTATTGATAACATAGATTATTTCCTGTTATGAACAAAGCAACTATGATCATTCTTGTTCAAGTCTTTTGGTGGGCTGTGCTTTCATTTCTGTTGGGTAAATACCTAGGAAGGGAACTGTTCAGTCACATGCTAAGTGTATATTTAACTGTATAAAAAATTATGAAATAGCTTTCCCAAGTGGCTATACCCGTTTACACTCCCACCAGCAGTGTTTGGGAGATCCATTGCTCTACATCCTCCCCAGTACTTGATATTTGTAATTTTATAGACTTGTGTTTATCATTTTAGCCATTCTAATGCATGTGTGCTGGGATGTCATTGATCACTGTAATTGTTAATCCTTACAATGCCAGAATTTGACCCTAGGCCTGCCTGAGTATAAGGCCTGTACTCCTTCTGAATGAGACCACCTACCCGAGAATGAAAGAGATGAGGAAATATATTAAAGGATTGTGTAGAAATAAAAGAGGAAATTAATACCGTGCAGAATTGGCTTGTGTATAAATGAATGTTAAATAAATGAAGATATAAATGAACAAGTATATAATTATTAATAAGACTCTCAAAGTAAAAATAAATGGGACTGGTATGCAGCTTGTTCTTAATAAACATGTGTCAAATTGGGTAAAAATGCAGCTGCCTTGGAAAATAGTTTGGTAGTTCCTCAAAATGTTAAATACAGAATTGCTATATAACCCAGCAATTCCACTGCTACGTATACTTGTACACAAATGTTCATAGCAGCACTGTTCACAATAGTCAAAAGGTGGGAACAACCCCAATGTCCATCAATGGGTGAATGGATAAACAAATTGTGCTATATACATACAAATGCAATGTTAGCTATAAAAAGGAATGAAGCACTGATATATGCTCCAATGTGGATGAATCTCCAAACATTATACTAAATGAAAGAAGCCAGACCAAAAGGTGATATTTTGTATGATTCCATTTATATGAAATATCCAGAATAGGCAATTCTCAGCTATCTAAGAAGTGAACAGCTAGTAGCTTTTTGTAGGAAGTAGGTCCCGGATAAGACCAGAATATAGACACTTGCCTGCTCTGCCATGTCCCATTTTTTGAAGCTTCCATCTGGATCCATGTAGAAATGCTGAAAAAATAAGCAACAAGTAGAGTGCAGATGGGGTGACAGCAAAAGAAAAAAAGTCCATAGTGTTTCATCTATATTTGTTAGTATATTTAGGCAAAGTGGTTGGGGACCAAAAGGAACTATTAATAGTAAGCATATAGTTAGGTCGTGTTTTATTATTTTTTAATTCATTATGATGATCTTCACCTTTTTTTTTTTTTTTTTTTGAGACAGAGTCTCACTCTGTCTCCCGGGCTAGAGTGCTGTGGTGTCAGCCTAGCTCACAGCGACCTCAAAGTTCTGGGCTCAAGCGATCCTCCTGCCTCAGCCTCCCGAGTAGCTGGGACTACAGGCATGCGCCACCATGCCCGGCTCATTTTTTCTATATATTTTTAGTTGTCCAGCTAATTTCTTTCTATTTTTAGTAGAGATGGGGTCTCGCTCTTGCTCAGGCTGGTCTCGAACTCCTGACCTTGAGCGATCCACCCGCTTTGGCCTCCCAGAGTGCTAGGATGACAGGCATGAGCCACCGCGCCCAGCCATGATCTTCACCTTTTAATTGCTGCGTTTAGTACATTTACATTTGATGTAATTATTGACTTGAGTTTAGAGCTACTATTTAATTATTTCTTTTCCTTTTTTCCCCTCTATTTTTCATTACTCTGTTTTCCCTTTCCTGACTTCTTTTGAACATTTTTAGTATTCCATTTAATTTTACCATATCTCTTTGCATTTTTCAGCGATGGCATTCTAGTGATTACAATATACATATCTAACTTTTAACGTATTTTTCAATAATATTTTACCACTTTAAATGGAATTTAGAAAACTTATATTGTCATAGATCCCTTTACCTTCCCTCCTGTATGTTATAATTGCCTTATTAATTACATCTACATAAATCAAAACTCCATTATCAGATAATGGTATAATTTTTCTTTCAAGTGTCAAACATATTTAAAAACTCAATACAAGAATGATCTATTATATTTATCCAGATATTTACCATTTCTGTTGCTCTTCATTTTTGATGGTCTAAGTTTCTTTCTAGTATAATTTCACTTCTGTTTAAAGAAGTTTCTCTACTAATTATTTTAGAGTACATTTGCAGTGGATTCTCCAAGATTTTTTTAAATCTGAAAATTTTTTATTTCGATTTTATTCCTAAAGAATATTTCTGCTTGATATAGAACTCTGGGATGACAGTTATTTTCTTTCAGCACTTTGAAAATGTTGTTTCACTTCTTTCTGGCCTCCCTGGTTTCTGAAAGAATATCAGTCATTCTAATCATTATACTCCTATAAGTAATGCATTGGTTTTCTCTGGTTGCTTTCAAGATTTTTTTCTTTTTCTTTTTTTTGAGGGGAGTGGCTGGTGGACAGGGTCTCACTCCTGTCACTCAGGCTGGAGTGTAGTGGCGTCATCATAGCTCACTGTAGCCTCGAACCCCTGGGGTTAAGTGATCCTCCTGCCTTGTCAGCCTCCTGAGTAGCTAGGACTACAGGTGTGTGCTACCACACTGGGCTAATTTTTAAACTTTTTTTTGTAGAGACAGGGTCTCACTATGTTGCCCAGGCTATTGTTGAACTCCTGGCCTCAAGCTAACCTCCCACCTCGGCCAAAGTGCTAGAATTACAGGCATGAGTCACTGCGTCCAGCTTCAAGATTTTTTTCTTTGTTGTTAGTGTTCAGTAGTTTGGTTATTATTTGTCTGGGCACAGATTTCTTTGTGGTATGCTGCTTGGGGTTTGATGAACCTCTTGATTTATAGGTTTACGTCTTTTGCCAAATTTGGGAAGTTTTCAGCTATTATTTTTCAAAAATTTTTTCTGCGTTTTACTTTTTCTTTTTTCCCTCTGAAATTCTGAGGAATGTTAGGCCTTTTGGTATTGTCCCATAGTTCAGTGAGGCTCTGATAGTATTTTTCCAATTTTTTCCTCTGTGTGCTTTAGATTATATCAGTATTACTTGTTTCGCCTTTTGCCTCAGGTTCCAATATGGCTCAGCATAGCACTATTGCTAATTCTGCCTTTATT